AAAATAAAATTTAAGCAATTTTACAAAACTGAAACAAATCATTAAAGTACTCTACTACTCTACAAAGCATGACCCGCGGGCCATATCAATGATTGGTATTAGCCCGCGATTGCATCTCATCGGACAGCCCTGCTCTATTATATTATAATAAAGAACAAACATAACTATTGAAATATCCTTTTACATATTATGTATAAATGGTTACATAAACAATTAAATATATAAAAATAAAACAAACATTTTATTTATTTTATTTGTTTTATATAAGCATCACCGTAATGTATAAAGGATTAAAAACACCGAAGCTTGAAAAACTAACAAAAATAGATTTATACTTTTGTAAGTTTAAAGCTTAAGGATTAGGTTTAACCTCGTAAGTATATGTGGTGCGAGTAAGAAAAAATGGTATGCGTTGGAGAGGGTTTATTTTCAATATTTAAAAAACGTCGAATATCTTAAGCATTTCATTTGAATAACTTAAATCACATACGACTTTTTAATATATTAAATATCTTTTGATTTGATCATTTTAATAGGACAGATCAATCGTCGCATTTTATATATATGTAGTGATAAGTAAGTAAGCATGTATATGTTTTAAACAGTTTTTGCTGTCCTTAGTAGTTGTATTTTTACCTAAGAGCCAGAAGTCAGGATTTCTGTAAAGCTACATAATAGTGTCGCACTGTATGCCTACATTAGTAAGGAAGGCTGGCTTGCAATGATGGATCGATAAATGTAATGTGTTGAGGAAAATTTACTAATCCATTAACTATGTGACATTTAAGAAGAAATTGCTGACATTTAATATCAATAACAATCGGTCTAAATTTGAAGTCTTGAATTTGGACTTACATAGATATTATTCCAACGTGTTTTACAGAATTCCATACTGGGAATAATATTGCCACCTATAGGATTACGATTATAGTCTCAATATAAATCTATATAAAATTATTACAGTTTTGTAAATTATTGAGGTTTAATGTTAAATGTTATTCATAGAAATATGTATATGACCGTCCATACGCAAAGTAACCTTATCTACCCCTCACTTCTCAATCAACACTTCCTCCCTTTTTTGACTTTTATTTAGGCTTATATTCATCAATAATATGAAGTAATATTTTATTACATCAATGTGTTTGAAGATTGCCATATTCGAAAATGATCGAGCTGCTGGTTGTATTATGTAAATGCGTTTAACCCCCATCGCCCTACCCTTTAAGAGTTCTGGATATTCGCATATTTATCAATAATTATAAGTAAAAATTATTGTTTTAATGTGTTCGAACATCACAATACTTGAATTCAAAAATCTGCCTAAGTATTTTGGACATAAATACGCCTTCTTCAAGTTCTGGGTACGCCCTTATTTTATTAGTAATGAATAAAATAATTAGTGCAATATAATCGAAACCTACAATTTTAATAGCTCAAATATACTTGTGCATTTTCATACATAAATACATCTTACTGCAAATACTGTTTGGAAATATGGTGTTTAAGCATATTCAAGAGACTGGCTGTGTTTAAACACAAGTTTACTTTAACATTAATCAAAATGCTCGAAGTTTTGATTAGCTCCAATATTATTTGAAGATTTTGTAATAATAAAAACAAAACGGCGGTTACCTTTGTATAACCTTTTGCTGCAGCTACATGCAGCGCTGTTGCACCAGTTTTTGGATGTGGTCGATCTACTTCGGAGGCATCACTTCTCAACCACTTTTTGGCATCATTGAGCATTAATTGTTCTTCGGCTTTTCGCGCTTTCTCACAATCGATATTGAGTTCAGTAACCATTTTCTGCATGAAATCCATCATTGGCAAGTGTTGTATGTCAACAGCCAAGTCAACGGCTAAATCGCCGTCACTATTGACAGCAGCAACTTCGGCACCATGTTCCACCAAATAACGTGCTATGCTTACAAAGCTTTTTAAAGTTAAATATAAGAAATAAAAACGAGTAAATTTATTAATGGGAAATTTAGAAAATAAAAAATTAAATTCAAGTTAATTACATTTAACATTTAAAAAGCATAAAGAAATTCAATGCTTGAATTAATTTACACAACTTACCCGCATGAGGCTGTTGCATGTAACGGAGTCCAACCTTCATTGTCTTGTCGATTGATGTCTGCGCCATGTTCAACAAGAAACTCAACCATTTCTAAATTATCATCGATGCAGGCCTAAAAAGAGAATTACAAATTTATTTATAATTTATTTTTTTTTATTTATCTAAGGCTTTTAAATTTTTGGTTTTTATTTAAAATAGTACATCGTACATTTCTATAACTTAAAATAGTTAATGCAGTTTGGCAAAATTTTGCTTTTATAGCTTGTGAACTACAAATAGACGAACCCTTATAAACGCCTATCAGAATGCTTTGGAATTTCACTTGATTGCACAATTAATACAATAAAGAAATTTATAAATTTTGTATCTCTAAGGCAAGTTTTTCAAAAAAATTTGTTTACATGAACTATTGTGAATTGCAAAATGAAGAAAATACAAAAAAAAAAAAAGAAAAAAATAGCAGATTGTGCATGTAAACATTAGTTTTGTAGTTTAAAAATTTTTTATGCGTATGGATTTCCGTTGAAGACGATGATATCATGCTTTATAATATTTTTGCTGATATCTACGAAAAAAAATTGTATACAAATTGTCGAAACGCTTCAATGCCTTCCTCTTTCTTTTAAACAATTTCAAAAAAAAAAAATAATAATAATAAAATAATAAATAAATTTTTGAAAAATACTCAGCGCTATTGTATCTAGTCAGAGAGATAAAATTTTCTGTTAACATTTTTAGCGTTGTTCTTTTTTTGCTTAGTTTGTGGTTTGCATTGATAACGGTTTTAAGTTTTAATGAAATGAATAAGAATTCTTTTGATAACGAAACAAAACGAACGAAAAAAAAAACAAATAAATAAATAAATACTGAAACTCAGAAATAGAATTTAGAGCAAATTTTTCATAATTTATTATTTGAATATTTTATCGATTTGTATGTAAAACGTGTATTATTGATTCATAATTTATTCCAAGAGATTCATTTATAATTGGAACTGATAAATGTTTGACATGCAAAAAAAACTTTTTAAATTAAATGAAAAAAAAACACACAAAATGATAAGAATAAAACATACGACAATAACTCGAACATTTCAATTATTTTTAAAAAACTTAAAAATTAAAATTCAAAAATATTTATTTAAATAAATAGTTAATAGCGAAATATATATGAAAATGTGATCTTAAAATATACGGTAGTCAAGTATGCTAAGCTGGCGCTAAGCCATTAATAATGGGATCTGTATAATATATTAAATAAATTTAGTTAAAAATGACCTCTTTTAAAAGGAATAATAATTGGAGCTTTCCATATTTATATATGAATATTGATTGCACGTGGTTTTAACGTTTTATTAGTTCTACTTTTTATTAGACGTGTTTCGTGTTTCTAAGAGTTTATTGATTCTTCATAAATTTCATTTCATTTATATATTTTTTAATAATTTTCTATTATTACATATTGTATATCCTTACTTTTCTTATATCCTTAAGTTTCTTATGTCATTATTTGTTCTATATCTTTACATTTATTATATATTATCTTATATTCCTGTCTTAAGTTTACATTTACATATTTAAAGCCAACTTTCCCATATCGTTTACATTTTGATGTACATTTTCTTATTTGTACTTCTCGAAGTTTCGTAGGCGGCTCTTGGACTTCAGGTAAATTGAATTGCATGCTGGAGGTCTTTTAGTTTGCTTAAGTTGATTTTTCGCGGTCTTTTGTTTGCGATCTTCTTGACGGCTGCCAATTTTATTCTAAAGTTTGCTCGTACGAGGTAATGGTCGCTTCCAATATCTGCTCCCCTTTTGGTTCTTACATCTGGGAGCTACGACCTCCACTTTCTGTTAATTATAATGTGATGTATTTGGTTTTTCACAGATCCGTTTGGAAATACCCAAGTTATCTTATGAACTGGTTTTTGAATATATAATGTTTCGCCTACAAGAGGCGAAGAGCATAGCTCAAGAAAACTCTACCCAGTATCATTTTGTGTACCACTTTCATACTTTCCCATTACTTTTTCAGAACCGGCGTTATTTTCTTCGATTTTGGCGTTCACATCTCCAAGTAGATGACAATATCTCTTTCTTTGGTGTGTTATAAACGTCATCTGTTTACGTTTAAGTTGGTGCATAACAATTAATAATGACCATTCGTCAAGCTCGAGTTTTTGGTTTTAGTATTATCAATCTGTCGCTGATAGGATGCAATTCCAGTTTGCAAGCAATATTTGAGGACATAAGAAAACCAACTCCGCTTTGGTGGATATCTCCTTTTTCTTTGCCGGAGTATAAAAAGAGACTTTCATTGTCTGATAGTTGACCATATCCGTTCCAACGACTTTCTTGTATTGCCAATATTTCAACATTAAACTGTTTACGAATTCTTCGTAGTTGTTCCAGCTTTCCACATTAATTTAATGTTCGCACATTCCATGTTCAGATATATAACTCTTCTTTTCTTCCTAAACCTCTTCAATTTTGGTTTCTTCGTATCGTTTCGGTTTCATTCATCAATGTTTTGTGACTTGAACTTTGCACCTCCAAAACCGTTGTGCTTGTTGCCGTGGTAAAAGGATTTTACATAAAATTATGGCTACCCCTGGATATTCCGTTAACGTTTAAATTCAGTGAAAACAGTGATTCTATGATTGATGAACTCAAGGATTGCTTTTCCCGGACAGTAACTTGCTTTTGAACTGTGAGGGCCGTCGTTGTTCGATTCCTCCGCCGCCTTCTCTTCTGCATCCTCCTATCTACTAAGTATGAAGCGCCGAGTATAACCTGGAACTAAGAGGTATACTTTAATCAGCTTATGTCAGGGATTTGATAACGCAGTTTTTCATCTCCAGCCTGTTTGGTCCGCATTTCCCTCTTACCACCCATATCTGGAAAGCATTCGCCACCTGCGCCCTCTAAGGATTTCAGGCTCCCCTCGAGTTTTGAATAATTATGCCGAAATATTAAAAAAACAAAATGTAGCTCAAACTTTTAGAACTCGGTTTTTATTTACCGCCATATCGTTGAAAGTTGGTATAGTAGTATTGCACTCGATACAAGTTTAAATAATGATAACATTACACCCTCTTTAAAGGTGGCGACATAAATTTTAAATTGTGAATGATTTTTTTTGTGCTTTATTTAATAATTTTATACATATTTACATGTCTGAAGTGTGCACACTAAAGGATAAATCTAAAAATACATTTGATATCGATTAAGCGCACTTAAAGGAAAAAAATATCTTTGTAATGACACTTTAAATAAATTGCCATTATCACATGGTGCACAATATTGTAAAACTACTCTAATATATCGAAAGTACAATTCGCTTTTTGTGGAGTCTACAAATACATGGAATACCGATATTGATCTTATCACTTAACGTTTGCATCTAATGTTTAAACATGAGTTTTCAACGGTATTTCGCACCACTTTTTTTCTTTTTTTTTTATTTTGCAACTAATATATATTTATCATCACATTCCAATTAAATTTGAAATTTCCATAATTTTAAATTCTATATCAATTCAATATATATTTCTATTTGCAAAGCTATTACTAATGAAATACAAATTTAAAAAGAAAAAATGCTTTTAGGAAAAGGAAATCTGTATTATTTGAAATACATTGCGAAACTCGAATTCGAGTGAAGAAATTATGTTTCATAATTAAAATTTCATTTTATAAAATTTGTTTATGCATTTGGCATACATGAATCAATAATACAGGCAGGCAGACACACAGATAAATAAAAATTAATAAAACATATTTGGTTTGACATAAAAATTCAGTTTACAAGGAAATACAAAACTAAACACGATTGTGCAAAAAATTGGGTAAATTCAAAATGTAAACAAACAAATTTTTATAAAACAGTGTCGACAAAAATCTGAGTATTAGCCCCAACGCTCCACATTCGTGAAATCGTAAAAATATTTATGATCTGCATATATAAAAATAAAACAAATAAAAAAATAAAGAATTGTTTAGAAATCAGATTAAATACACAATCAACATGCAGTAATAAAAGCATATGAAATGCACATAATCCGTTGGTAGTGCCTTGACTCAAGTTGCACGGATTTATTACGAGAGTACGTCGTAGCACCACAGGAGTATTTTTTACATTATTTGCATTATTTGCATTATTTGCAGAAAATCGTAATACTTTGGCAAACCCGCAAATAAATAATAAAAATCAACTTAAACAGTGAACAACTCAGACGGCCTACGTCAGCATTTCGCATAAATAAGAACAATATTCGATTAAATATCTTCAAAAACATTAGGAAACCAATTAAATTTAAATGCAAAAAAATTAAATATTTTTTCATGAAATTTCAGAAAAGGATAAAGAGTAAGAACTGCAAGACCATAAAATCAAATTTGCATGTAAATCGAAGTGGGTCATCAAAACTTATCAAAACAGAATTTTGAAATTGAATACAAATCGATCGAGCCGTCGAATGCCTTGCATCTGCAATAATTATTGTTTAGTCTTGTTTCGAATGCACATGGAATTAAGTTATTTTGCAAAACGAAAAGCAATAAAAACTCTAAAAATGTTATGCAAAATAATACAATAATAAAAAAAATATATATAAGAAAATAATAACCTGAAAAGCACTCAAGTGAAATGATGTAAAACAATAAAGCAAAAAGTTTATTTTCTGCACCAGAAATAAAATTGCACCAAGAGTATTCAACAAACAGAATTGAGATGTAATTTCTATTTTTAAAATGTTTTCATAGGCGAGATAATAAAATCAGTCAATATTTCAATACTTCTGAAACTATATTTCTAGTTTTTGTTTAAATGTAAATTAAGTAGCGCAATCGAAATCAATGAATCAAATCCTCCAGCAATAAAATTCAAAAAAAAAAAATAATATTTAAGAAAAGTATTTATTTACAAATACTCGCGGAAAAGGGCAAGCAAATGTATCTTATAAACTTACTAGCAAATATTAAAAGCATTGAATTGTGCTTATGGGAAAACTTATATTTAACTTATTTTTCCAAGTGTAAAATTTGCATTAAAACAAGTTTTTCAATTGCAGTTTAGTTTAATATTTCAATCTAGAAATCATTTTAAGCAGTAAAATATAAATGAGAAAATAAAAAAGTGGTTGCAAACTTTGAAGTTTAATTAGAAAATCTGTGAATCAAAAGTATCTACTTAACAGTATCTGCTTAACAGTATCTGCTACTTGTATTCTCTGTTAGAGAAATTTTATATTATTAAACCAAAAAAATATTTTTTGCTATCTGCGATAAAGCCGTACTACCACATATTATCAGAAATATCAGAAGCCTTATAGTATTAAATCAAAAGGAAATATTCTGCAATCTATAACAAAGCTAGCAAAAAACTAGCAAAAAATTCGAGGTATAAAAAATCTATGCTTTCTGGAACTAATTTTTTATACTAGTAATACGTAGCTTACAAAATAAATATAATGCACTTCATTTCATAAGATGTTCTGTATGTTCTTGTATAATAATCATGTATAATAATCTGTAGAATCAAAAACAGTCAGTATTTTATATTTCAGAAACTATATTTCTATAATAATAATATTTTTATAATAATAGTAAAATTTTTATAATAATAATAATATTCTATATTATAATCAAAACACAGAATCAGTCAATATTTATATTTTAAACATTGCTAAACTTACATAAAGTTAGGTGCCTACAACACAAGATCGTCATGTGATCTACAGAGTTTTTTGTCGAAAGAAAAGCTCCACACAATTATCAAATAATCAGTAGAATCAAACATAATCAGTATTCTATATTTCTATATAAATAATAATATTTCTATATTAATAATAATATTTCTATAATAATAATAATATTTCTATAATAATAATAATATTTCTATATTAATAATAATATTTCTATAATAATAATAATATTTCTATATTATAATCAGAACACGGGATTTACATTTTGAACATTGCCAAGTCTACATAAAGTTAGGTGCCTACAATACAAGATCGTCATGTGATCTACAGAGTTTTTCTCGATAGAAAAGCTCCACATAATTGTCAAAAGCTTACAAAGATATCGGACAAAGGATGAAGATCGTGACGGTAGACTAAAACTAGTTGTTGTGTCAAAAAACAATGATGCTGTACAGAAACATATAGTACAAGAATATCATTTAATAGATAAAACAATTTCTTTCAGTCTAAATTCATCACAATTATGAAAATCTGAAAAAGATGTCGGACGAAAGACGTAACTCCTAAAGAGTATTTAAAATGCGTTGTTCTATCAAAAACCAATGACCCAAGTATATTTTAAAACCTGCATTATATTATAGAGTTTTAATTTAAACACAATATTTTTATGTTAATAACATTTATACTTAATTTATTATTATTAGAATGAGTTTTTGTGAATTTTTATTAATGAATATATATTCTTAATTAGCAAAGTTCTAGATTTTATTTACAATTTTTTGAAGCACATATCCAAAATAATACAACAAATAATACAACATACATATTTGACACGTCACTTATATACATATATACATTTTTAATCTGAAAATTTATTTAAGTAAATAGTAAACAATCATGAAATTAAATATCTTTGCTTTAAAATAGAGTATTGATTTAGAAAAAAATTAATAACTAAATCATCTAAATAACTATTTTATAAATTTTAATTTTTTTTAATGAAATAGTATTAGCTTTTTTCCAACTTAGAAAAACAAACAAAGAAAATGGGTCTTGTGGTAAATGCGGACAAAACAAAGTACTATCTGTCAACAAACAAATTTCTGTCAAACGTCTTGGAACCTACGTCACTGTTGACCATTATAAATTCGATGTTGTGAAAGACTCTGTTTATTTAGGAAACAGCTTAAACACCAAAAATGACGTGAGCCTAAAGTTTTCAACGAAGAATCATTTTTGCCAACAAATGTTACTTCGGGCTAAGTAAGCAATTGAAAAATAAAGCCCTCCCTCGACAAACAAAAATCACGCTCTACAAATCTCCTATCATGCCTGTCTTGCTGTACGGTACAGAAAGCGTATCGAATTAGACGAGTATCGAATTAGATGGAACGATGAGCTGTATGAGCTATACCACGACAACATAGTTAAGCGCATAAAAATTCAGCCACAACGCTGGCCTGGTCATGTCGTACGAATGGAAGAAAGTGCTCCGGGTAGAAAGGACGTCCGCATCTTCGGTGGAAGGACCAGATAACCAACGATTTGGAGGCGTTCGGTACTACCAACTGGCATCAGGAAGCAACTAATCGGGCTGACTGGCGGAGGCTACTCGACGCGGCCAAAGACGACTCACGTCTGCAATGGTCAACTAAGTAAGTAACTATGTAAGTAGTATTAATCTTTGATACTAAATTTATTGACACGAAAATTGAAAATTTTGTAAAAATAGGTGTTAATAATTTTTGTTGGCAGTGGAGAAAATTAATTCGAAGTATTTTTTTTTTGTTGAAAGTTACGTGTCTTATGACGAAAAGAAACTATTTAAAAGTTAGAAGGATTCGAATAGAAATGAAAAAACAATAAAAATTTTAGTTAATTTTTTGTATGATCAGCCAAACTTCAATAAATTAACTAACATTTTTCTTGCTGCCTTTTCATTTCCAATTTGAAATAGTTTAACTCTAAATAAATGACAAAATTACTATTGGCTAATTGATTTGAAGTGTATACTCACCATTTGATTAAGATTGTTTATAGCTAATATTTTATAAGTGCTTGGTTGCTTCTTTTGCAATGAACATTAAGTTAAAAATGCAAATAAATAATAATACAGGAATAAAAATAAAAATCTCAGACTTTTCCCTCTTCAAGATCAAAGATTATAGGGTAAAAAGCAAACAATTTATTTAAAATAATTTGGTAAAGTACGAAAATAGCAAAAGAAATATATTTAAAATTTTTTTTAATAATTACTACTTTAATAAATTCTTAAATGAGTGACACATAACCTTTGAAGGTTAAGTTAGTTCAGTAGATAAAC